AGGAACAGTCCTCCTGCGCTGCCAACCTAACTATAACGACCCCCAAATGGCCGCAGATACCTAACTATATTCCAAAATAGTGAGAACAATAAGAGAAGTTAATTGGTGCTGCGCTACTCAGTGCATAAAAAACAAATCATAAATAATAAATGAATTGGAATCAGAAGATGAATGGACATATGACCCTCATCCAAGTGTCAAAACAACATATGCAAAAAACATGGATAGGTGCAGACCAAGGGTCGACTGACAACTCATGGGGCCCCCGGGCAATAGGGGATCATGGGGCCCCTGTGTCCTTGCCCCCACACTCAAACCACACCCAAAAAAAGCCTATGCAAAGGTACCAGGGGGCATCTTATGGGGCCCCCTACTGACCCCGGGCCCTATATATATATATATATATATATATATATACGTGATTTTACGCACACGTGCCACCCTGTAGTAGTACTTCTGCTATAGGACGGATGGGAAGCTGTTACTTACACAGATTCTGGGGCAAATTTAATGCAGATAAGGCACCAAGTGAGTTTAATGGCCACCTTAATCAGCCACAGAAGCTGTGTAATCAATATGTGTTCGGTATTAAAGGGATGGGGCGGCACAGTGGCTTAGTGGTTAGCACGTCTGCCATGCAGTAAATGGGTCATGGGTTCAATTCCCAACCATGGCACTTCCTGCATGGAGTTTGCATGTTCTCCCTGTGCTTGCGTGGGTTTCCTCCCACTCTCCAAAGACATGCTGGTAGGTTAATTGGCTCCTGTCTAAATTGTCCTAGTTTCGTTCCTGGCCTTGTGGGATCTCCTGCATGGTGGGGGTTGGGGAAATCGCTATACGCTATCCTATCCAGGTGTTGTGCTGTGACATAGCCATATCCTCATGAAACCGCAATAACCCTCTCATTTTGAGTAATTTTTGGAAACCCTTTATTGGGTATATCGATATAAATACTCAGGCCTGTATAGCCTGTTACATGCTATACACATAGTATATGGAGCAATAATCTTCTCATTTTGAGTAATTTTTGGAAACCCTTTATTGGGTATAAAAACTCAGGCCTGCATGGCCTGTCATATGCTATATACACAGTTTATGTGTCTGGAATCCATGTATTGTGACTACCTGGCTCCCCACCCCCACATGTATCTTGGAAAAGCATCAAGGACCTGATCCTATTTCAAGTCGACAGAAGTCTTCTTGATCTTCATTTATGGTAATATACCCACTTTATGTGTGTCTTGTTTTCAGGGTGACCTGATGCCCATGATTTTTATATATCACTATTTTTCTATATATATCCTCAGAATCATTTGGTACTGTGGACCCTGTTTCACTTGGGGTGGCTATCCAGGAAGTCCCTACATTTGAGAAGTTGGCCTGTTAATCTCACTATTGAGAAGGTAATAGTAGTATCCATTGACTACTGCAGAGGGAGGCTTGGTGAACCTTGGATGTGTTTTGGTTTTTTGGTTTTTCATACTTCTATATATATATACTATGTACTTCTGTGTTCCAGCTTTTTCATACCAGGAGATACCTGATATATATTGGGAACACATTTGCTGAATACATGGTTCATTTGAATACAAGACGAAAACCCATGGAAACCCAGGATAACTATATCACCACTATATAACTCTGCCTTATGGTACTCTATTTGCTAAGATGACCCGAAACTGAAGACGCCTAGTGCTTTTTAACATGATTTTATTTACTTTTTTCATATGTACACCGTGCGAATGTTTAACCTCCTTATGATCTATGTGATCAAATAAAGTATTGTTTGGAATATTTTTGAATTCATATTACTCCGCGTGGATCACCTAGTAACCTTCTTTTTCCAGGTAGGGGTGTTCTTGTCACACTACCATTTTGCTTAGTGGGGGTTGGGGAAAGACCTGGCAACCTACCCTGCAAAATAATTGCTAAGAGAATTCATGGAAAAAATTGCTTACTGATGACGGTCCGTGCAATCGCCAAGGGTTGGATACAACTGAATGGATAGATAGAGATTTAAAGGGATGAGGTGGCAACTCTAGCCCCACTGCATAAGGCCCAGTGCATTGAAGCCACATATGTGTGTGGTCAAGGCTGTCCATTTATTGGCAGTTTTCAACTTCACAATCAACTGAAATCTGGTAGTCGATCGAAGTTGAATGTGGTAGATTGCTCGCTGTCTAGGGATTTTACAGGTGTGCCTCGGTTAACATAATTTTTGGTTTACGAATGAAAATCCAATGAAAATACTGCCTCGGTTTACAAATTTTACAAATTTTTTTTGCAATAAGAAGTGTATGTTGGTGCCAATTTTTTAAATGCAATTGCCAACTTTTTTTTTTTCTTCACTATAGCTCATATAATTAGCTGTCATTTTCCCCGGAGCTAAAGGAAACAAACTAAAAGGAAACACACAGTGGCTATGGGCAGCACAGCGGCTAAATGGTTAACACTTCCGACTGGCAGTGCTAGGGTCATTGGTTTGAATCCCAACCATGGCACTACCTGCCTGGAGTTTTCATGTTCTCCCTGTGCCTGTGTGGTTTTCCTCCCAGTACTCTGGTTTCCTCCTGCACTCCAAAGACATGCTGGTAGGTTAATTGGATCCTGTCTAAATTGTCCCTAGTATGTGTATGTATGAATGTGAGTTAGGGACCTTAGATTGTACACCCCTTGAGGATTAGGGACTGATGGGAATGTACAATATATATGTAAAAGTGATGCATAAATTGACAGCACTACATAAGTACCTGAAATAAAGGAAATATTGCTTCTTTTAACTCTGGGAAACAAACTAAAAGGAAACTTTCTTTCTTTTAGCTGGGGGGAAAGTGACAGCTGATTCTCTGAGCTATAGTGAAGAAAAAAAAAAGCTGACCTCCGGAATGGATTAATTGGTTTTTAATGCATTCCTATGGGAAACCGCATTTCAGTTTACAAATTTTTTGCAATACGTAACATCCCGGAGAATGCATTAAATTCGTAACCCGAGGTACGCCTGTATTTGTGATCATATCTGTGATTCCTGGTTGCTCAACAGTTTTTGAAATAGACCCTGTGTGGGTTTGCTGCCTCCGTCTGCTGTGAAGTTTGGTCAGAGCCGTAACATTCTCCCTTTGCCCGCGTTATACCGCGTCACCTTCACTTTAATTCCTAGCTGCAACTCTGTACCTTTAATTCCCTCTGTGGGGGGTGGGGCAGAGATCACATGACAAGAAGGTCCTCGCTGGAACATATAAAAATAAATTGCCGTGCAGTTCCCGGGAACATGGCTGGAAGCAGCTAAGTCTGCAGACAAACGAGAAAGGTCTGCAGGAGACAACGAACGATCCAAAGAGCGGCGAGATCATTGTTTAAACCGATACAAAGGAAATGATCATTTGGGGAATTGCAGCCTTGGAATGCGTTTAATCCACCCAGAGCTGCTACAAAGAAACAAGGGAATGAGATCTGCAACCCGTGTTTAAAATATGTTTGAGATCTTGGAGTTGTGCATGGACTGGGTCTTTGAAAGGTGAGCAGCACAAGTAGAGTTCCGTTGACTCTTCCTGGATATTACTCTGTGTGTCTTGTTTGACAGAAATTGAACAGACTCCTCCTGCCGACTACAATGGCATCTGCTGATCTGATAGACGAGCTGAGCTGCTCTATCTGTCTGAGCATTTATACGGATCCTGTAACGCTGAGATGTGGACACAACTTCTGCCGGGAATGTATTGACAGCGTGTTGGACTCTCAGGAGGCGTCTGGACTTTATGTCTGTCCGGAGTGCAGAGAGGAGTTCCGAGAGCGACCTGTACTCTCTAGTGCAAGAGTTTTACGTAACATAGCGGAGAAGTTCCTCATTTCTCAGCCTCTCCAGGAAGATACGGGAATCTATTGTACGTACTGTGTGGATTCTCCTGTACCAGCTATAAAATCCTGCCTGCTCTGTGAAAGTTCTCTGTGTGGAAAACATCTGAGAGTCCACGCCAAGTCACCAGAACATGTCTTATCTGATCCCACCAACACCCCGTGGAACAGAAAATGCTCTATCCATAGTAAGATTGTGGAGTATTACTGCACTGAGGACATGGTTTGTATCTGTGTTTACTGTATTGCGGTTGGAGAACACAAAGGACACCAAGTGGAGAAACTGGATGAAGCCTTTGAGAAGAAGAAAGAGAAGTTGAGGAAAGATCTGGAGATGTTGACCTTAAATAATGCATGGGCTGAGAAACAGGTCCAGAGTCTGCAGGAACGCAGGACAGACGTACAAGTAAAAGCAGCTCATGTAACACAGAGAGTCAATGTTCTGTTTCAAGATATCAGAAGAGAGCTAGAAGAAGTTGAGCGGAGAGTCCTGATTGAGATTTCCACACAGGCAGAGAAGATATCAGAGTCTGTGTCCAATCTGATCCAACAGCTGGAGAAACAGAAGGACAAGATTTCCAGGAAGATGAGTCACATTGAGAAATTGTATAAAGGCACCGACCCAATGTCCATCCTGAAGGACCAGAACTCAGATGGAGAGAGGACATCTGCCATACTGAGCAGGAAGATCATATGGACACAATGATTCCGAGTGAAGGTGATTTCTATGAGGATCTCATCACAGACAGATTACACCAATTATCTGACTTTATAAAAGACATTCACATCTGTATACAGAAACCAGAAGGTGTTTTACTTGATGAGCAAACAGCTGCTAATGATATACAGATTTCAAGGGATTTAAAAACTGCATTTTGGTCATCAGCAAAATTAGATCGTCCAGGAACTCCAAAAAGATTTAAAAACTTTCAGGTTCTAAGCAGGAGAAGTTATTCTTCAGGGCGGCATTCCTGGGAGGTGGACACGAGTTATTCGAATAGCTGGAGAGTTGGACTGTGCTATCCCAGTATGGGAAGGAAATCATTTATTGGGGATAATAAGGATTCTTGGTGTTTGCAAAGGTGTAACCATGATGAGTATAATAAGGTGCATGATTGTAAACGCATTCCATTTCTACACAAGCCTACCAGCCATAAATTCAGGATCTATCTGGATTATGAGGCCGGGCGGATCTCCTTTTATGAGCTGAGTGACCCGATCAGACATCTCCATACCTTCACCACCATCTTCACCAAGCCCCTCCATGCTGCCATTTCTGTTTGGAAAGGATCGATAACCATTATAAACTAGGGATATATTTTGCTGCATGTTTCATTCTGTGCAGTTCGTGCAAATATGATTTAGTTTGAGTTAACGTCTGGTGGATGCTAAAGACTTAAATCTGAACTCCAAAAGTATGGTCATTGTTTGCGTACCCACATTGGTCCTGCTCATACCAGAGGGGCTGCTCACTTGGCACTTTCCCACTCACAGAATGTCTTGTATTTTTTCAGTGAATACAAAGTGCTCTCTGATTGGAAAAGGTGGAGATCCTGAGGGTACCAACCTACCCAGTGGTGTATGTAGGATTTGTGCTGCCCTAGGCAACACAAAAACCGGCCATCCCCCACACCCCGCCGTGGAGAGAGCCTGACACCACCAACCAACCCCCCCACCCCTGTGGAGGAGAGAGCCTGAGACATTGACCAACAACCCCACCCGAGAGAGAGCCTTCCATTGCCCCCCATGCACCGCCTTCCCCACCCGGTGTGAGAGAGAGAGAAAGACACTCACATTCACGGCTCCGGACATTATTGGGAATGAGAGGAGAGTCGGGCTCTGCATATACCGTCAAGCAGCCCACAGCCTCTTTCAGATCCCACCTGATCCCCATGCCGCCTGTGTCCCTTCTTCAGTCCCTTCTTCCAGGGGGCAGCGCTGTCCCCCTGAAAAATGCCGCCCTAGGCAAATGCCTTGTTGGCCTTGTGTTAAATACGTCCCTGAACCTACCTCTCTTCTCCACCATGTCCAAGCAGAGAAGGCCTTGCTTGTATTTACTGAAAAAACAAAACCAGGCATTCTGTAAATGGCGGCAGTGCTAAGTGAGCAACCCCATGTGCTCGTTGTGCAGTAGGGAAGCTGCTTGGCACAGGACCCAGAAAATACCAGCGATCACTGTAGCAGCACCAACTACAACAGTGAATGTCTACTTCCCAGCTTCCCCTTAGGTATGAGCTATGCATGCTTAAATTTTGGCAAGCTGGACCAATGTAAACATGCAATAAAGATCATACCTGGAGTTCAGCTATAGGGCTTGTTCACACCAGTTTCAGTGTTTTGGATGTGTTCCTGCATACACATTTATGCTTGCTTTGGATGTGTTTTCAATGCAGTCTAGTATGTCTTTTCCTCCATTTTTTTTTTTTTTTTTTATATTTTGACATTTGAAAAAATCTTTATTTTCATTAATAATATATGCAGTCTGGTGCATTTTCCACGTTTTCATGCATTCCAGATGGAAAAAAAAAAAAAAAAAAAGCAGCAGCTTGTATTTTTGTTTAAAGCACTGAAACTGACTGCACTGGTGTAAACTTAGGTCCATTGGAATACATGGCAAACGCTGCGCATGCAGCTCAAAAACGCACTGAAAAGCATCTGAACAAGCTGAAGTGTAGGTATAGCTTGTTAGCATAGTTACATTGGTCCGATTTGGACCATGTATGTGTAACATACCATGTATGTATAACTTGTATGTGCCAAACCTGGCTGATCCCTGTTTAAGCAGATAATCACTGTAGTAAGTTTTGCTACTACAGTGATAATCACTAACTTTAGGGTTCTTTGCCATTCATACAAGGATTTGCAATTTTCTTAATGAATGTAAGGCGTTTTTCTGAATTGGATGAGGTGTAGATGGTGATGTCAGCTCCGACTCCACCTCTCCAGCTTGTCCAATCAGAGCATGCTGAAAAAATGCAAAAAGTTCTCTAATGACCCTAGGTTCACATCTGTGTGGGTGGTGCCGCTGCGGATCCGCACGAAAATCCGTGCAGCCGCAGAGAGAAAATGCGGCCCCCGCGGGCAGGTACCATTAGTTCTAATGGCATGCCACCCGCACTGGAAAACTCAATCGTACTGGGAACCGAGGGTTCCCATGCGGGCTGCGTTTTCCAAAGAATTGCAGGGAATTCTTCCCTGCATGTCACGGGCACAGGAGTCCATTCAAATAAATGGGCTCTCGTGCCCGTGCAAAACGCATATATGTGAACCAGGGTTAATGACCTAGGGTCATTAGAGAACTTTTGGCATTTTATCAGTGGATTCAAAGCCCACTGAGCGAGCAACCTCCTGTGTTCACTATGTAGCCACTCAGCACTGGACACGGAAACTAGCAGGGATCAGTGTAGTAGCGGTGCTTACTACAGTGACTATGCACATCCACAGGGATCAGCCAAGCTCGGTACACGCATACTTACATCCCAACATGGACCAATGTAATTCTGCAAGAAAAGCTATACCTAAACTTCATCTTTAAAGGCCATGATGGTAATATAGTATTCTCTTTCTCAGAATCTCAGGTATTGGAACTTCTACACTGTGGTTCCCAGGTCTGCCCCATTGCAAAACCTTAAATGTTGCAAAAATGCACGTAAACCCATCTAAATGCTATAAGTAACTAAATTAGCACACTCTAATTTTAAATTATTAAAATAAACCCAAGGAAAAAAATTCACTTTCACCCTTGAAAGCTGACAAAACTATAAATTAGAAAGTCTTTTTTCCTTTCCCAAATTATATTAATACATCCAAAGAATTATCATAAAAGAAAATAAAGAATAATAATATAAATGATAAAATAAGATAAAATAAAATAGATAAATATCCTCCTTATCCAAATGTCCACAGGTGCAATTCCAAAAAAACTATAGTCCTCTTTTTTTCTTCCAAGAAAATATCTCTCTTATTTTCAATCTTCAAGTAATGTCCAAATATTCATATACCTCAAAAACCAAAAAAACTCAACATAGTGTATTATCCTTATGCTAAGGATATCCTAAATGCTAGCTGCTTTTGGCGCTTGGAACTTTATTTATGTCAATGGAAAAGTACTCTGGCCAATCAAACGAATAAAAGTCCAAGTGCTAAATGCAGTCAGGAGAGGAACATTTTGACCAAAAGAAAAACTAAATGCTGCAAAAACGCATCTAAACGCTAGCCGCATTTAGTGCTTGGGCATTTATTTATGTCAATGGAAAATACTATGGTCAAGCAAATGAAAAAAACGTCCAAGCGCTAGATGTGGCTAAACGCTGTACGGCGTATATACGCGTTTTTGCCGCGTTTTAGTGGTTTTTTTGCTGCCAGGAGAGCTTAACGTGTAGAGAGTTCATGTGTACAGGAGCCTTAGAACGTGTAGTGTTCACATGATCTATCAAAGTCTTACAGCCAGCTGTCTTCCAGACATGGGGTTCCTCTCTGCTGCAATAAGAAGAGAGAACTCCAGGGAACACCGCAGGCGCCATGTTGGGCTTACATTTTATGAATGTGCTGTAACGTATCAGTAAGGACACAAAGAATACATTTTCTAATAAACAAGATGTTAATAATGATGTATGTTTTGTTTGTTTTTTTTTATTCCATGTTACATGATAGGAAATATTCTTGCTGAAAACTCTGCAAATCCTTTGTCAATGTTCGCTGTTCACACTGCTATTATACAAGCTAAAGCCCGTGTGAAAGAGGCCTTCCAGTGGTGTGGGGCGCAGTGATGTCATGTGGAGGGGCGCTGTTTCTCCAGCTGACAGTAGTGACTAAAACTCTCTTCCTCATTTCACACCTCCCCCTGCACATTTTCTCACCATTCCCATTCCTCCTGACAATGTATAGCTCCTGCTCAGATGTCTAATCTTAGTCCCTTCCACATTTCTTGCTACCTCTGCTCCCATTTAACCGCTTACCCTTCCGCCCCTATAGCAGAAGTACTGCTACAAGGCGGCACATGAATGCGCAAAAATCACATATATATATGTGATTTCGCATTTCCAGGTAGAGGGCGCGTAGAGCCACGCATGCGCCCTACCTGTGCCGCCATTCGCGCCCCGTCAATCACCGGATCGGGGGGGGCCAGACTGTAATTACTCACCAGCGCCTGGTGATTTCTGAAGATCTCTAAAGGGGAGGAGAACTGTTTTGTTTACTAACAGTTCTCTCCTCCCTGTCAGCTTGGGAACACTGCTTTGGATGGCTGTGCACAACACAGCCATCCAAAGCAGTGTGAGTACAGTGAAGCACACTGACACCACCCCATAGTAAAACCCTGCCAGCACACAGTTAACCCTTTTATTGCCCCTCATGTTAACCCCTTCCTGCCCACTGCCATTAGCACAGTGGTCAGTGCTTTTTTTTTTTTTTTTAGCACTGATCGTTGTATTGGTGTCAATGGGGATGTTAGAATGCCCGCCGAAGTCCCAATATAAGTCGCTGATAGCCACCATAACTAATAAAAAAAAAAAGAAACCCAGTCATCGCGCCCGGTGAATTCCAACGATCTCCAACGGGGAGGAGAACTGTTTAGTTTACTAACATCTGGGGATGCCAGTGACACCAGTCAGTTCCCCCCCAGTGCCATAATGTCTGCTGCAGTCCTGCTATAAGTCGCGATCGCCACCATAGCTAGTAAAAATAAAAACACAGTCGCCAGCGCCCGTGATTTCCAACGATCTCCGACGGGGAGAACTGTTTTGTTTTACTAACATCTGGGGATGCCAGTGACACCAAGTCAATTCCCCCCCAGTGCCATAATGTCTGCTGCAGTCCCGTTATAACAGTCCGCTGATCGCCGCCATTACTAGTAAAAAAAAAAAAATAAAAATCCCAGTATCTATACCCCCATTTGTAAACTCTATAACTTTCACGTAAACCAATTCATTTACACACGTATTGGGATTTAGCAAAGACATGGAGCAGAATACATTCTGGCCTAAATTTATGATGACATTTGATTTTTAATTCTTTTAACTGGACATGATTAATAGCAAAAAAGTCAAAAATATTATTTTTTTCTCAAAATTTTTTTATAGAGCAGAAAAATAAAAAAAGGCTCAAGCAATCAAATACCACCAAAAGAAAGCTCAATTCGTGGGAAAAAAAGGACATAAATTTCATTTGGGTGCAGTGTATGAATGACCGCCCCCGCAATTGTCAGTTATTATATATACAGGATTTATATGGTGCCAACAGTTTGCTCAGCGCTTTACAATATAAACGGAGACAATACAGCAACAATACAGTTCAATACAAGAGGGATAGAG